TAGGTTTTGGTATAGCCTAGCCAGGAGTCCTGAGTGGCGGAAACGGTTTGTACTAGACTACTAACCCAAAGGTTGGCAGTTCCAACCCACCCAGCAGTGCTGTGAAAGAAAGGCCTGGTGATCTACTTCTGTAAAGAGTTGTTGTTGCTGTTGTTAGATGCCATGAAGTTGATTCTGGATTACAGCCAGGAAAATTCCACAGAACAGTTCTACTCTGTAACACATGCGGTTACTATGAGTCAGGATCAACTCATCAGCAACAAGTTTGTTTGGTTTTTTTAATAGGCTAACCAAGTTGACACTTAACACTAACCATCGCAAGTACCTCCCTCAGAGTTTTTGTGGGGACTATGGTAGGCTAAGGAGCCCTGGTGGCACAGGGGTTAAGCACTCGGCTGCTAACAGAAAGGTTGGTGGTTTCAACCCACCAGTCGCGCCACAGGAGAAAGATGTGGCAGTCTGCTTCCGTAAAGATTACAGCTTTGGAAACCCTTGGCAGTTCTACTCTGTCCTATGGGGTTACTATGAGTTAGAATCCACTCGATGGCAATGGGTGTTCGGGTTTTGAGTGGTAGGCTACTTCCAAACAGGCTCCCAGTGATCTCGCCTTCTGGTATTCATGCCCTTGGGTAACCCCTGTGACTTTCATCTTGCTTGCACTCTCTCTGGCTCTTCTCGCTTGCTCTGATGAAGCAAGCTTCCATGTTGTGAGATGCCCTATAGAGAGGCCCACGTAGCAAGAAACTAAGCAGGTGGGGGGCGGCTAACTGCCAGAAAGGAACTGATTCCTGCCAACAACCTTGTGAATGAATGTAGGAGCAAATCCTTTCCCAATCAAACCTTGAGATAAATGCAGCCTCAACCAATGCCTTGATTACAGCCCAAAGCCAAAGGACCCAGCTTGCTCCACTGGGGTTCCTGACTCACAGAAGCTGTGAGATAATAAATGCTGCTCTAAGTGACCAAGTTTTAGAGTAATTTGTCATGGATTGAATTATGTCCCCCCAAAAATGTGTGTATCAATTTGGCCGGGCGATGATTTCCAGTATTGTATGATTTTCCTGTATGTTGTAAATCCTGCCTGTATGATGTTAATGAGGGAAAATGGGCAGAAGTTGTGTTAGTAAGGCAGGACTTAACCTACAATATTGGATTGTGTCCTGAGGCAATCTCTTGAGATAGAAAAGAGAGACAGGGGGACCTCATACCACCAAGAAAGCAGTTCCGGGAGCAGAGGGTATCCTTTGGACCTGGGGTCCCTGCATGGAGAAGCTCCTAGTCTGGGGGAACATTGATGAAAAAAAGGCTGACAGATAGAAAGCCTTCCCCTGGAGCTGACACCTTGAATCTGGACTTCTGGCCTACTTTTACTGTGAGGAAATAAACTTCTCTTTGTTAAAGCCATCTACTTGCGGTATTTCTGTTGTAGTAGCACTAGATGACTAAGACAATTTGTTACACAGCAAGAGATAACTAATGCAAGGATTAAATAATTCAGGTGACAGGTTTAGAACAGTACCTGATGCCCAGTCAATAATATCATCATCATTATTATTACTTGTTTAGCCCCACTACTAGACTGACAGCCCATGCCTATTTGTCTACTGTTATCTCCAGCTCCTAGCATAGTGCTAGACACAATTAATATTTGTTGACTAAAAGAATAAACAGGAAGTTCTGGGCCTTCCCTGGAGTCCTCCAGACTCTTCCCTTCAGGCCAAAAATGGGGCTGCCAAGACTTGGGAGAGCAGTTTGAGCGCCCAAGTTTTCCCTCCAGCCAGATCCTGGGCCAAGCAAAGTGGTGAGGATTTGCTGGGCCCCTTTGCAAGGTCACACAATTTCGCTGAGCCCACGTTGCAATTCCCAGGAGCACAGTTTCACAAAGCCAGCCCTTATGTCTGCCCTACAACCCTGGAAGGCACAGAGAAAACAAAGACTCCATCATCACCAACCTGCCCTCCTGGCCTGCCCAGATAGATGCTCCTTGCACTCTGGGCAGGGAGGGAAGAGAAGGGACTGTTTCTCTTGGCTGAGTAACATCATTTTTCTTGACTGAAGAAATACATGCCAGAGGGGTTAAAAGTAGAAGGTAGTTCTCATCTAAGAGAGCTTTACTCCTCAGAGGCCCGGCCCCACAGCAACATAAAGAAGCTATACCCAGGGTATACACAGGGTTTGGCAGTATGCTGATGGTCCAAACCACTTCCCCAAGATTTCTTCCATCTACACATCACCCACTCTGCTTTAAGAGCCAGCTCAAAGTCGTGTCCTCCATGACAACTTCCTCAGCTGCCCAGGCAAACGTAGGCCCCTCTCCCTGGGCTTCTGTGGTACACTGTGCATCTCTCTGTTGAAGCAAGCTGTATTCAAGGTCATTGTGAATGTGCTCCTGGGAATTGCCTGGCCCATATCAGGCTGAGAACTAGCTCCTTTGGGTAGGGACTGTGTCTTACTTGCTTTTGTATCCCCCAACCCAGCAGAGTTGACACAGTAGGTGCCAATGTTGACTGAATTACAGAATGCTATTGCATTTGGAATTCAGGAATGGCAGAAATAAATTTCTACAAGAGCATTAAACTCCATTTAGCTTAAGAATGTGGGGAAAAGAAGATAGGGATGTGTGGCTTATCCTATAAGTTCTGTGCTGCTTGGGTTAAGGAAGTCAGGGCTGCAGGGAGCAAGCACTCTAGTAAGTCTGCAGAATTTGATCTGCTTTTACACAGAAATGATCCCCTCCTCTCTGCATTAATGAGTGCTCTTCTTTATCTGAAGTCAGTGGTTCTCAAAGTGTGGTCCCTGGACCAGCAGCATCAGCATCAAGAGATCTTGTTAGAAATGCACGACACTCCAGGTTTACTGAATCAGAAACTTTGGGAGGTGTGTCCAGCAATCTGAGTTTCAACTAGCCCTCCAGGTGATTCTGATGCACACGCAAATTTAAAAACCACTGTTCTAAACCCACTGAAACACATGTGAAAAAGGCGTTAGACATACAATCCAGATCGATATAAGATTAAAGGGGAACTCAAGCCAATATCCCTTGCTATAAAATGCCCAGGATCAATGAAACACTCCACTGTTTCCCACAAACCAGTTCTACAGGCAATTAAATGAACTCAGCACATTTATTTTAAACGTGCAAAATGAATTTTCATATCCAAAGAGTAACACCAGATGTTTTACCTCTTTTTCCTAATTGATTTTTCAGCCTACAGCAATTCATCTTTATACTTTCCAGTTGGATCCTAATGTAGCAAGAAGAGCGTGTTCTGCAGGATTATTAAATGCCATGCATTTTAAAACAAGCATAACTCAGGCTGCCATGCGTCATCTGGGTGGTTGTCTCCCCAAAATACAAAAAAACAGACAGCCATAGGTACCAGGCAGGAAACTCCGAGGAGGCTCTTTCAAGGGGTTGTGACTCCAGGCTCTTGGCTGATTGCAAAGCTGAGTCCTGGGCACTCAGCCCAAGCCTGAGCTCTTCCCCACAGAGCCCTGCACTCCCTGGTACCAAAGGATTTGCTAGCTGTAAAATCTGCAGATAAACATTTTGTTTTTCATTGGGAATTTCCGTCTCTAAAATGAAGAAAAAGTAGGTATGGGGATGGAGGTGATGGGGACTGAGGGGCCAAGTAAGCGGCGAGGCAGTTGTTCCAAGAGGAACCAGTCTGGATGGACCTTCTCCTGCTCTGCTCTGTGCCTGGAAAATCCCAGACAGTTCCCCTCTGTTGGCCAATTTGGCCTGGCTGAGCAGGAGGCCCTGCTACTGACGGTGTAAGTGGGTAAAAGTTCACCACCAGCCAGGGTTTTTTCACTCAACAAAAGCTCTGCAGAATCTGGGGAAGACAGGGAAGGGGAAGCCTCAAGCTTTGAAAGAGAGGACCTTCTCCACCTTTGCCCTGGGTATGTATGTGGGCTGGGGGTGGGGGTGGGGGCAGATAGGGAGAGTGGCAACTAAGTGCTGGAAACCCAGAAAGTGCTAATTCAGAAAATACAACCCACACTTATTAGGAAGCTGGGAGATTGGCACTATCAGCTTTCTTCCCTAGAAGCTGCTGGGAGCTGGCAGGTTTGAGCCATCAGGCCTGCAGCAGGATTTTAACGTTGTCTGAGTTATAAATCTGCCTGTCTGGTTCTGAGCAGTGCTGCAGCAGTCTGTTAAACATCTGAAATTAGAGCACATCATGATTAAATCTCCAAAGTCGGCTGCTCCAGCTTTAAATAACCCACCCCCAAATTCCAGTGGGCTGTCCACTACATGGCCATTCTAGATACTTGGAATAAAGCATTCTGGGTTCTTTTATAGACACATATTCAGATGAAAGCTCCCTGGTAGAAGAATTAGCTCTGCATCTGCGCTCTCCTCTCCCCCACCTCCACCCAGGAGCTCCAGCCTCAAAGATAACAACCTACAATCTATGGAAGTACTGTGTGGCCCCTTGATGACCTCGGGAAAACCCAGTAACCAGCCTTCTCAACTAAGACAGCTCTGCCCCACACCTGTGACTAAAAAAAACTCATCTAAATTTAATATGCACAAATGACAATTTTCACGTATCAAAAAACTGGATGTAAAGGCCTCCAAACAGACTTGGACCCAGTGTCTAAGACACACAGAATGAAATAAAATCAAGGCCCCTGGCCTCGTCTAATTGGACTGAGCATGCATGAGGTCAAACGTTTTTGCACTGAGTTGTCTGAGGAACCCACTTGTCTTCCTCTGGGATTGGGCCAGGAGCAATCCCAGTCACCCAGCCCACACCCCCCACCAAAAACGGGATTCCATCTTAATTGACTACCTTCACTATGACTGAAATGTAATCAGTGGAAAGTCAGTCTTTCCTTGCCCCAAATGCCCAAGGATAATTTTATACACAATTAAACCACAGACGCCATTTTATAAATGTCCTCATCGTAAGTCTTTTAATATTTTACATAAAAAACTGTATACACAGCTTATAGAACTTTCATGTAAACATCATAAGCTCACCACTTTGTCATTTGTCAGTTTATTTAAAAAATAAAGAACAAGACAATTTAGTAGAAGTACCAGTGGGGAGGAGGGGAGAAGGAAGAGAACAGGGGCAGTTTTATTCTCTGTACAGAGACGCAGAGAAAATTTCACACAGTTTAGAGACTGCCTTGCCAGAAAATTTAAAAAAAAAAAAAGTTTTAAATAGGCCCTAATACTTGTTACTGCTGTTTATCAAAACAGTGCATTTAATCTGCACAAATAAAATCGTAAAATAGCATTGCCACTTTTTTCGAGAAAACAAAACAAAAATTAGTGGGGTTTCCCCCCCTCCTTGTTTTGTAAAAGTCATTATCCCTAAAAAGAAAAAAAATCAGAAGTAGATGAGGTTACAGTGTACAACCGTGGTCAGAATGCTACTGTCTCAGGCAAATGACAAGCGCGTTAGGTGTCAAACAATGAAACAATTGTGCAAAGAATATTTTGGGGTAAGAAAAAAAAAACCATTTTTAGCCATTAAATAAATCAAAATCAGTTTCTTAGACTGAACAATTTTCACTTGTAGGACAGGCACAAAGTTCGCTTATGGCAAAAACAACCCCGCAACACACCCTCCCCTCCTCCTGCCCCAGGGGCTGGTGAGGGGTTCGAAAGAGACGCTGTGTCCGGAAGCTGTGTCCTCTCAGCCCCAAGTCAGTTCCAAAAGTCGTCCCCAGGATTCGGAAAGATGGTCAAGTCCAGTTCATGCTTGGATGGGTGCCTGACCCAGGCTGGGCCGGAGCCGTTCTAGCGCCTTGTCACTCTACCCACCACCACCATTAAATAACACCATCCTACCTCCGAAAATAAAATTATATCTGTACTTATATAACCACACCCTCCCCCCAAGCCTCCCCAGCCCTCCCCTCCCGCAGTCCCCGGGGTCTATGTTACAGACAAGGGATGGTAGGCGCTCGCTGGTACTGGGTGGACATCTGATGGGGCGCGGCCGACCAGGGCGCCGAGCTCGGCTCTGGGGACCAGAGGCGGGGGTGGGGGTAAACACTGGGCGAGGAGAGTCGAACATACACACAGCCACACATTCTGACGCCTAGCTCTTCAGAAAAAGATGCTTAGGGACCCTTGGCACTCAGCGGGGCGCCCGGGCCTGTGCAACACAGCCGGACGCATACAGACACTGGGAAGGGGGCGCCCGGTCCCTCCTACGCCGATTGCCCGCGCGAGAGCCAGAGCCGCCAGTCAACGGCTGCTGCTCCGAACGGCAGACGCCAGGCAGTCCGGTGGGGTCGTTCGGGGACGCGGGTCTCCTCTTCTCCGGACTCGTTGGGGGACGGGGCCGAGAGGGGGAGCCGCGCCGGTAGGGCAAGCGGGGGCCAGGCGCGGCCCTCATAGCACCTTGCAGCAGTTGATGCAGCCGTTCTGTGAGCCGTAGCGCTTCTGCAGCGCGGCGCGGGTGGCCGTCTCGAAGACCTCGCGCACCCCCTCCTTGGTCTTGGCCGAGCACTCGAGGTAGTCGTAGGCTTGGATGCGCACGGCCATGGCGCGGCCGTCATCCGTGCGCACGGGTTCCTGCTTCATGCGGGCCAGCTCTGTGCGGACGTGCTCGTCGCTGCGCAGGTCTTTCTTGTTGGCCACCAGGATGATGGGCACGTTGGGGCAGAAGTGCTTCACCTCCGGCACCCACTTCTCGGGGATGTTCTCCAGAGAGTCCGGGCTGTCCACCGAGAAGCACATAAGAATCACGTCGGTGTCCGGGTAGGAGAGCGGCCTCAGGCGATCGTAGTCCTCCTGGCCCGCCGTATCCCACAGCGCCAGCTCCACCTGCTTGCCGTCCACCTCGATGTCGGCCACATAGTTCTCGAAGACGGTGGGCACGTACACCTCGGGGAACTCGTCCTTACTGAATACGATCAGCAGGCACGTCTTGCCGCACGCGCCGTCGCCTACCACCACCAGCTTCTTGCGGATGGCCGCCATGAGCGGGCCGGGCCCGGGCAGCAGGAGGGGGCCCGCGAACGCCTCGCTGCCGTCCCGCTCGCCGCTCACCTCGGGCTGCGCGCTGGAGCAGGGGTCGCTAGCTGCACCCAGGCCCAGTGGTGGTGCTTTCTCTCGGTGTGCTCCGGCTGCCGCGTCGGGGGCGGTGGGGGCGCGGGGGCATAGGGCGCACCGTGCGTCTCACGTGCTGCTCTCGGGGGGTGACCGCTTTTCTCAACCCGTGCGTGAGGTCGGCGCCTTTGTGCGGAAACGGCTGCTCGCGCTGCGATCTGGCCTCGCTCCCTCCCCGGTCCCTAAGCTCACCAAACAAACAGGAGACAACAAACCAAAGCAACCGGACTGCGGTGGCAGATGCAAGCTGCGGCCCTAGCGCCCGCTATTTAAAGAGTTTGGCCACTTTCTTAATATAGCCGCCCAATGGGAAGCGAGCCGACTGAGCTCATCGCTGCGGATCTTAGCTCTGATTGGCTGTCAGCTGCAGCCCCAACGGCGGGGCCGGGGAAGCTTGATTGACGGCCTAGGCCGCGGGGCTGGGCGAGGCGGCGACTAGGGAGTCTGCGCTGCGGCTCCGGCTGCAGGGCTTTGGCTAGACCGTGGTGGGGCCGGGGTTCCGTCCTTCGCCACAGCTTCTGCGTTCGGAGCCTGGTTCCGGGAGCTGGCTGTTTGGAGCCCGCGGGGCCTGGGCAAGGGGCACCGGGAGAGGCAGCACCTTATGGGGCGTTGGTGGTTCCCTTCCACTCAAAATTGCCCCGCTTCCTTCCGAACGCCCAGTGGGTTGTCGGACCTATGGGAGAGGGGCGACTCCTTTAACGTGGTTTTGTTTTTGAATACACACACTCTTCTCTCTCTTTTCCAAGCAAGGTTTTTTCCTTTCTTTTAGAAACGGCACCCATCTGGCCTCGCTTCCCCCTTTCTCCTCCCCCTCATACGACCTACCCCTGTACTCGCCCTAGTGGAAGCCCTAGGTTTGGACCCGGGAGGTGAGAGGCAGACTGAGCTGTGAGGGCTTGGGCCGAGTTACTCAGCTCCTCCAAGTCCTACTGCTTCTGACCCCCCGCCTGGGCCTTAGGTGAAGATTGGAGGAAGGAGGGCTGAGTGGTCGCAGAGCTTCCGGTCCACTTTGAGGAAGTTCCCAGGCAAGGAAATGTGGCTTTGGCCCTGCTTTGCATGATTAATTCTGATCCTGGTTGTTAAGCCCGAGGACTGTCTGAGTTATATACTATAATAGAATCCAACTGCCCCACCTCCCATTGAGCAGATGGAGAGGCTGAGGGCCCTGGAAGGGGAGAGAGATTTGCAGGCAGCCACACAGCAAACAGTGGTGAGGCGTTTAAGGCTCTAGACTCTTGGTCTTCTGATACACCGAACCAAAAACCAAACCCCCTACCGGTTGGTCGACCCTGTAGGACAGAGTAGAACTGCCCCCAGAGGTTTTCCAAGGCCGTAAATCTTGAAGGAAGCAGATTGCCACATCTTGCTCCCAGCGGAGCAGCTGATAGGTTGGAACCAATGTGCCACCAGGGCTCCTTTCCTGAGGCACACCAGGACTCAGTTTGTCTGTTCCCTGGATCCTGCAGGAGATGACACCCATGTCTGATCTAAAATGATGACCTAAGTCAACAGATTTCAATAGACAGGTGGGAGGAGGGTAGAAGGCGGCCGGGAGGGCCACCCAGGGAGGAGGAACAGCTTGAACAAAACCTGGTGGGAAAGAATGGGACAAATTCTAGAAACAGTGAATAGCTTAGTGTGGCTGGACTTGATGGAGAGAGAAGGTTGAAACTCAGGTTGGCACTGCATTGTAGGCGGCTAGAGTATCAGCTAAATGGGTATCAGGCAGTGGGATGCTTTGATTTTTCTGCAAAGGAGAGACACCCTCATGTCATGATGAACTTACTGCCTCTTCATATTTCTGTCTCCTTCTCTAGCCTGTGAGCTGGTGGAATGCCAGGAGCTTGTCTTACTTATCTTAGCATCTTGACATCTAGAACAATGCCTGGCACTTTGCAAGAATCAGTAAACTAACCAAAATGCTCAAGAATTTCAGTTGGAACTTTTGGAGGAGGGGGTCTCATACCTCAACTTCAGGATAACTCCTGTTATCCAACTCTAGGTTGGTTAACAATTACCTAACCAAACCATACACCCAGCTGTGACTGAGTCCTGATGTTTTTACATATAATTTATATGTAGAGATCTAGGTCTTTATGTGGACTCCACAGATGTGGAGAACCTTGTAATCAGGTCAAATAAGACTTTAGTCCCGCCAGCTCCTAGAGCCCATCCTATTAGGGATATCTCATCCAAATGACCAGAAATGCTGCCCTCACACTGGGTTAGCTCCATAACAATGCCCAGCTTTTCTTCTGCAGATCCAGAAAACTGATCTGATTTGTCTGCAAGTGAATAATTGTTCCACAGTGGGATGCCATGGCAAAAAGTGTTTTTGATCATTGATTTAGGGCTCCAATCTAGAAACTTTTTCTTCTTTTTTTAGTTAGCTAGTTAGAAAAATCTTATCACCACAAAATTTTCTTCTTTTAATCAAAACCTTTTATAGTTGTATTGTTAACCCTGCTTCGAGGGTAGGTTATCCAATAAGCTTACTTACTAATCTGTAGTGAACAATTTCAGATGGATTTCACCACACCACATCAAAGTGAAACCCATGTGAAATTGTTTACTACAGATTAGTAAGTAAGCACAAGTAAACCGGTGCTTACCTTGCTTACTGAGTTGTCTGCCTTTGTCAGGAATTGTAAATTTGAAAAGAGGCTTTGCGTCTGTAGGTAGGTGATGTGGATTTGCGAGAAAGACAGATGCCAGCCATCCCTAGAAGCACAATCTTTGATGTGGTGAAAAAATGTGAAATTGTTCACTATGGATTAGTGAATAAACACAAGTAAGCCTGTGCTTACCTTGCTTATTGGATAATCTGCCCGTGGGCTGCTTTTTTTTGGTCTTACTGTAGCTTGGGAATCTTGGCTGTGTCCTTAAGCTTTAAATAACAAGAAAATATAAAACAGTTAAAGCTTTGTGGCATCTATGTAAAATTTTTAAATCTTAAGAATGAAGAAGAGGGATTAAGCACCCTCATTTCCTAATTATATGAGATGTTCCGAGTTTGAATCTCAATATTGCAGTAACTTCTAAAAATATTTGTTTATGTAATATATCAAAGTAAACAAATAGAAACATCCATGTTCTTCAGCCACTTATTTTCATGGCAATCGTTTTTTGTTCAGAGATACTTTGACAAGCCTTGTGGAGACTGGCTACTTCAAAAACCGCACCATCCACAGGATAAACTTCTCCAGACTAGGTGCTGTGCGGGGCTGTCTCCTCCCTGCCTCCTCTCACCCTTCACGATACACTTTCACTGAAAGGCAATGGTAAAATTCGATTCTTCTATGAGGACCAATCATTTTAATAATTACTTTTTTTTAACATATAGATTCATTGTTTGATAGATAACTTACCCACACTAGTGAAAGGGAAGTTACCCTTCAGCCAAAAGGGGGATGTTAATTTATCTCCAATCTTCTACTTCATTTATGTGGTCTTTTTTTTTTTTTTTCTTTTTTGCCTAGTGTCTCCTATGTCTCTCCAGTAAATCTTCAAAAACTAGACCAGAGATTGGAATTTTCATTAGATTTTAGTGCCACCTTGTGGCAATCTCTACAGCTTTTCTTTTAAAAAAAAAAAATTATGATTATAAAAAACCTTTATCTGATCAAAATGCATGCAATTTATGAATATTTTTATTTGAAAATATTTCACTGAATGTCAGATTCTAAAGAAGAGATTAGAAAAAAAGATAAAAGTTATGAAACCTCATTAATTCACACAACAATTTGCTTCATTTTCCCCTGATTATAATGTACTGGAAATGTAAAACAACTTTTAACCACAAAAATCATCTGCTTTTTTTCTCAATTAAGCTAGTATAGGTAGTCCCCAACTTACCACGGAGTTCCGATCCAACGACTACATCTTAAGTCAATTCTGACCTAAGTCTAGTACCTCAATTTTTTTTTCATTATTATTGCCTTTATTATCACTATCTTTATAAATCCGATTTTTATTTGTCTTTGGGGTTTGGAAAATTACATATAAACTTACAGATATATTTTAATACATACGTACATACAAAAAAAATACACAAATCATAAAAATTTACTGCAGTGAGGAAGAAGAGTTGCACGACATTGGCATTTTGTCAGTTTTGGTAGTAACTCCATTTGTGGAAGGTTCTGGATCATCTGGATTATCCCTGGGAATGGGGATGGTGTTTCCAGTCAGAAAATTAGTGAGAATTGTCTGTGTGGTCCTTTTCTTTTTTCTTCATATATTTTGTGGTAACATCTCACTGCTTTCCAAATCTGCCTATCGAGTTTAGCAAAGCGATCAGCGTTTGGATCCATGTTTTCAAGTAACTGAAGCCCCTGATTTACTTTAGAAAAAACTTCAGCTAATCTTTTCACTGTAAACAATTTTGACAATTTCTCTCCTTCCTCTTTCTCATTATTTCTTTCTTCTTCATCGTTTCTTTCCTCTTCAGAATCCATTAAATCCTAATCTGTCCATTCCTCTTCTTTGTGATCGACGAGCTGTTCCATATCAGCGATATCAGGTTCTAAATTCAGTGTTCTTGCCATATGGGTGATTTTTCCACCTATCTCTTCCATCACGTTATCCTGATCAAATGCTTGGAGCGTGTTCCTGTAACTCAGCAATTGTTTCCATATCCCCTAGGTGCATTTTCCTGTAACTTTCTCCCAGGAAGATGCAATGTTTCAGATACACTGAAGAATATTATAATTTGTGTAATGTTACTGTAACTCCATCCATTGCAGCTATTGCCTGAGCAAACGTAGCTCATAGGTACAAAAAAAAAAAAGACGGTAGTAAGTACAGTTCCTCATAACTCGAATGCGTTGTAAATCGGGAACTACCTATATTGGATATCCTGTTATAATTGAAGTAATAATAATTCATTTACCAATAAACATTTACTGGGAACCAGCAATACAGTAGACATTCTTGACAGCCATTTGATTTTTAAATTCTTTGTAATTTAAGGAGTGGCTTACAGTCTCCAGGAAAACTGTCAACCTTCTAACTCCATGCGATAAACTATTAAAAATAGGAAGGCTATTCTAGAATTAGCCATACTATTTCATGTTAAAAAAACCTAGGCAGTCCCATCTGGGTCTGTTTGGGGCCCACTTAACCCAGAGTTACATAGCTGTTGTTCTTACTTTTCGTCAAATTGGTTCCTACCCATGGCGAGCCCGTGTACAACTGAACGAAACGTTGCCCTGTGCCGTGCCATCTTCATGATCATTGG